GTTTATATACTGGATCGAATTTCCTACATTTTTCAACCAATTTCAACAAAACTTCACAGGACTACGTAAAATTACCTTGCGGTGGTTCTGACAGCGCCAAAAATTGGAAAAACACAATTGTTTTTGCACAAAATCAATTTAAAAACACGATAAAACATGATTCCGTTGCCAGAATGAAAGGGGGACAACTCATATCGATACTATTTACTTATACTTATTATAAAACCCAGGTTGTTTGTGTGTGTGTGTTCATTTATATATGGGATTGGATTTCCTACATTTTTCAACTGATTTCAACAAAACTTCACTTTTTTTGGCAGGTTGTCTTGCTTATTGTCTTGCACATTTTTTTCTTTATTTTTACATTCAGAATGCTTCAAAAATTCCATTTACAATAGAATTGTTTATAATAACATTCTATTCAATCGATAGACTCATAATGATTAAAACAATGTTTTTGTTTGAGTTTGGGTTTGACCAATTCGTAAAAAAAAAAAAAAATAATTAAGACATGTGTGTCCATCAACCTTAAACAATAATCTTTGTCAATTTTATTTTTCAGTCTTTTTGATGGTTGATACTAGATCTATCTCTTACTGTTATATCCCCGGGCAACGCCGGGCTCTACTGCTAGTACATTATAGTTTAGTTGTCTTTTCTTTGTTTTTAGTAAAATTTTCTTTTTTCTTAATACTTTGATTAACTTTTGGAAGATATCTTTCTTTATTTCAATGTGTCTTCAGATTTCACTATCACATTTTTCATCTTCTGTTAAATCTTCCTAAAGAAGTAAAAAAAATATATCATCAAATGTTAGAAAATAAAATATGTTCACTAATGTATTTGATGATTTTTTTGTTTGTTATTACCCTCATCTTTATTTTTTTTTTAATTTCTTTTTGGCTGACCAACTTTCACATTCTCTTGAATTGTAACAGTGAATTTTAAACAGAACTATGCATCTCATTGAAGACATTATTTTTGTTCTAACTACTTGTTTCCATATTAGAGTTTGAATTTTAAGGCACCATATTTTATTGTTCTTTTTGGATGACATGAACCTCTCCACAAGGAGACTGTTTTCTAGTCCTTCCAAGGAACTTTGGCAAGAAGTACAAGGAAAATCAAGTACTGTCCTTTATCATACATAAATAAAAAAGACTAAAGAATTATTTTTATTCCTAAAAAAGTAAATGACCATTTTTTTAAATAAAAAACAAAACATTTTTCTAAATAAGAGAAACTGTCGAAAATAAAGAGTGATTCAACAAGAGTATATTGGGAAGCAAAAACATAAAGTGCAGGACGAAGGAGGTCAGAGGAAAGAGACTTGTCCCCACCAATGGACATTCTTGGCGAAAGTCTTCAATTATAAACCAATCAGAGCTTGGCAGAAGATTTATGTGCTCTTCACCCTCAGGATGAGATTTCCTTCTGAGGGCATTACAGTCCCTCCAAGAATATCAACGAGACGAGGCTCTGGATCTCATCAAACTACGGATAGACTTACTCTGTCTTTAGTGCAATATCCCCAAGAGGATATCTCAGATTTCTGATTAATAGTGTACCAAGCCTCATAAAGACACCATCAGAACTCGTGAAAATTCAAAAATTCACCATAGATATTACATACAAATACATTACGTGGGTAGGCACACACACACACACACATATATATATATATATATATATATATATATATATATATATATATATATATATATATTTTGCTCATTGACAAAATTTAGACAAATATATATGGATATGAACAAAAGTTTAAATGTATATGTGCCTGTATGTATTCTAATATGCAAGCAAATACATACATGTTTTAATATAAATAATAGCATATATGCAAAAGAAAAATCTCAGATGTAGTTATATCAAAATATATACTTGACCATGAAAAGCTGTGTGTGCTTGTGTGAGTGAGAGAATACAGTTTTTGGACTGACAAATACAAACATTGCCAAATGTATATATGTATGAAGGCATGTATGTATGTGTACATGTGCATATATACATGCAGAAAGACCTTTGTGGATATATCAGTATACATGCACATGCAAACTTACATTTTTGTAAATATAAGATATACTTACATGTTGCTTGTAAGCACATAGATATATTTTATACATACATACATACATACATACATATATAGATATAGTTATAGATGTATAATGCTGAAAAATTCTGGGCCTAACCAAGAAGGAATTTGAACAAAAAATCAGATATTTTGTCAGTTAGTTATATATTCTGCTGTTTGTAGCATTTACTTTTTAAAAAATGCTCAATACAAAGTAGAGTAATATATTATTATTATTTTATTTTAGACATTAGAACAAAAATATGTTGAAATCACTATACAATAGCTTTTGTGTTTTGGTGCTACATTGTAGCTCTTCAGGCTGTTTGTAAGAGTCATTTACCATTTGCCTGAAGAGATACAATATTGTGTTGAAACACAAGTTATTGTGTAGTGATTTCAACATGTTTTTGTTCTAATATCTAAAATAAAATAATACATACATACATACATACATACATATATATGTTTGTGGCTGGCCACTTGTATCTGAGGATGCTCATCTACTAGGTTGGCTAACCAATCCTTGTTGCAGACGCCTGCTCAGGCACATTTGGGTTTGTTCAACACCTGCAGAGCCCACCTGTGGGTTATATTGCAACTATGCTGAGAAGGCCTTAGAGTTTCTGGGAGAGAGCGCATTATCTAGCTTGATCAACAGTCTGAACAAGGCCAACATGCTCAAATTTTCGGTCACGATGATGTGACTTTGTGCTTGTACAACTATCCTTGGCTTTGAAAGAGTTCTGTTGCCCCAATTTCACTCACAAGGCTTTGGTCAACCGATGACGTAGTTTTCAGACACTTTTCAAAGGTGCCACATGCTGGGATCACCTTCCCCAGACGGATAAAATCATGAAGTCACCTGCCTGACAAATTGACCATGTTGATATTCAAACCTGTGTCTCATGGTCAGAAAGCAAACATTCTAACCAGTCATCCATGTGGTGTTTGTATATATATATATATATATATATATATATATATATATATATATATATATATATATATATATATATATGTGTGTGTGTGTGTATGTACACTCCATAAAATAAACAAAAACCTTACAAACAGAATTGTAAAAGACAGCTTATCTATACAAGCAAATAAAGAAATAAATTGTGTTGTGGAAATGGAAAGTATAAACATTATCATTTCTACAACACAAACTCCCATGCAATTAGCATTCATCAGGTAGTAATTTGAAATGCATTTCCACCTGACAATTGCTAGCTGCAGAAACACAAGTTATTTCATTATCTTTTAAATAAGTTCTCATTAATGTTAAGACACAGTCTACAGGGTGGTAGAAAAATTAACTCCCCATTTTAAAATACTTATAATTTATTTATTAACCATAATTTTTATAAGAAATGCATATGAGAGGAAAGTGTTTAGTATGAGGTTTTATTTAAAATTTGATATGGGCACCAGATTTTGCAACTAGCTTCTCAAGCCACCCAGGAATTGCATTATTTGTGATATGGAAGAGATAAATTCTTTGCCCTTCAAGTTTTTCAAAAGTCTTGGTTTGGTATCATAGATCTGCTCCTTGAGCCAACCCCAAAGAAAAAAGTCACAGGGTATTAAGTCAAGATGCCTAGCTGGCCATTCATATATATAAAATAGGGAGTTACTTTTCAATCATTTGAGAATTTAATAGCTTACCATAATAGAAAATTCAAGTTGTTGAATTTACAGTCATTTTTCTTTTTGTCACAAACAAATTAGCATATTTTGAACCTATTATTAAATATCTGTGGTTATTGTTTATTAGATTACCAATAGTTTAGCATAATACCTATTCACAACAAGGACAAGTTGCCGCAACACACAGTGTTTACATTTACATCCAACTTTCTTTTTTTTTTAAGTATTCAACCCCAAGCAAGGTGGGAAGTCACTAGCACGCAAGGGGTTACACAGAGTTGGAGTAAGAACAAAGAGTGATAGAGGAAAGGATGAAGAGAAAGTTAGGGGATAGATCAGGGCATCTGGAGCCGTTGATTGATGTTACATTTGAATAGTTGGAGATTATAGCTATCAGGAAGACAAGAAATGGGGAGGGAGTTCCACAGGCAAGAAGTGTGAGACATGAAGCTATTGGAGTAGAAGAGACGGCTACATTTAACAGTTTCGACAGTGAAAGGGTGAGAGCGAGATGCCAGCATAGTTGAATGATTAAATTCATAAAGCCTAGGAACCAGCGAAAGCAATTCATCGGAGCAGTTACTGTGAAATTTGTAAAAAAGACAGAGGGAGGCAACGGCACGTCTTTGAGAGAGTGGCTGCAGACGAGATGCCAGATCAGGGCCAATTACATTGCATATCAGTCTTTGGATTTTATCAAGGACCTTGAGACAATTATAAGGGGCTCTAGACCATATATGGCAGAAATATTCCATGCAAGGGCAAATGGCTGATTTGTAGATTTGAAGGATTAACTCCAGCAAGAAAACATTCCTGGTGTGGCACAGAGAGCCAACTTTCCTAGCAGTGGATGAATCTATTGACTCAATGTATTCGTTCTCTCTCAGGTCAGCAGACAATGAGAGACTGAGCAGTCACAAAGAGGTACTCTCGTGGAGTTGAACATCAGACATTCTAATGGGAGGCAGGGATGGTTCTCTCTGGTGAGTAATAGAGAGCAGTTTTGTTTTTGAGGCATTAAAGTTAACCAGCCAATTCCTGCCCCAGTCCACAACTGATTGGAGCTCCTTTTCGGTTGTGGACTGGGGCAGGAAATTGCTGGTTAACTTTAATGCCTCAAAAAAAAAACTGTTTCACAAAATAAATATATACAGCATTTATTATATACAAATGATAATTGTAGGTTTGTATTATATGACTGGACTTCATGATTACTAGTATGACTGGGATTTGTGAGGGTTGGTAAACTCTTCTCTGCTTACTGCCATATCACACTGAAACACCAGTTCCTGTATGATAATTGAAGTTAAACAATGTTAAGCTTTGTCAGTACCTTGATGGGTGACCACTTGGGAATACCAGGTGGTGTAAGCTTGGATGTCTGGGTGGTGTCACAGTTAATAGCTCAAAATTGTTAGAGAGCTGAGTTCTAATTCCATTTATGTTTGTTATATTCACTTAGACACAAATACTCCTGGGAAAGATATGACTCCACCTCTTCTGCCCCTAACTATGGGTTAATAAGTAAGACTTGTATCATGTGGAGCATCATGGCTCTCTACAATTTCCTGCCCTTTATAACTCTTAGTAAAGTTTGACTTAGTTATCTCTCCTAAATCTTGTCCTGCTGTCTATTTACACAAGCTTGTTAGATAGGTTATGCACTGTTTTCCTCTATCCATCTTGCCTTCAATATGTCCTGTGAATATCAAATTTTCCAAGCCCTCTTTCCTCATTATGAACTGGAGAAATTTCAACTACCTGAATCTGATAAGTACGAGTGTCCTTTTTGTTACTCTTTTCTCCAAGACTCCATTGTTGTGCACATGTTCAGTTCAAGATATCCTCAGCATCCTTCTGCAGAACCAGATTTCTATTGTTTCAAGTTTTCTTTTTCATTTGTGAGTTGACTGTCCAACATTCACTACTATATAGGAGGATTAATATTGCATAACAGTTCAGTACTTTTTTCTTTATCTCTAATGAAATGTTTCTGTTCCTTAATACTTTGCTTAGATTTTGAAAGGCATTTTTCATGATGGCATTCCCCTGTGGAGTCTCACCATGTTGCTGTAATTTCTGTAGCAAGTAGATCTTTAGTGGATGGTGTTGCCAGTCCTTCATCTAATTGTTTTCTAATACAAAGTTATTCTTCTCCAAGACTGGTTGCCAGTCAAGGCTATAGAGGCTAGTCTGCCCTGCTGTTTAACCCATATATTAGGGAAGAAGAGATGGATTCATACTTTTCTCAAGGATATTTGTGTAAAAGTGAGCACAATGAACTCAACCAGAATTTGAACTCAGGATAGCAATTACACTTTCTTTGTTGATAATGCACAGATTGTGGCTGTGTTCATAGTTAATGTTATTGAGTGTTGGTATTTCATTTTTATTCTTAGTGCTTCAGTTATTTTTAACCTTTTTTTTACATGTGGATGAGGCTATTATACTTGTATTTTCTCCTAGTATGTTGCGGATGGATTTTGGTAGGTTTCCATGTGTTTTTAAATGGGTCCTAATTGTGCTATGGTCAGGTGTAACGTGAGTTGTCCAGATAGGCATGTAATGGTATGACCAATATAATCATGTACGAGTTTGGTTTGATCAAGAACACAGTTCCTTTAGAGGCATGTGAACTCATAAAATAATATTTTTATACACTTTGTGTCCAGAAAAGAAAACACTTGTATGCACATAAGAAAAATTAAACAAAAAGCTTAATCGCAATATCTTGTCAATTGTCTGTAATGAAACTTGCATATATATATATATATATATATATATATATATGTGCAAGAGAGAGAGAGAGTGAGCCAAGTTAGTATCCCAGTCGAATACATTACATTTACTTACTAATACCCTTGGAAAAGGTATGAATCCTTATCTTCTTCCCCAGCTCTGGGTAAATAGCAGGACAGACTGGGTTCTATAGCCTTGGATGGCACTTGGTCTCGGAGAAGGATAACTCTGAATTCAAAACCTGCAGAGGGTCGTTTGGGGACCTTGTGGCATGTAATGCACCAGGTCTCTGTATTTGGCCCTTCAAAAAGTGTGGATGGTTCTGCACAAAACCTTCACAACTATAATCTAATCATGTGCAGGTGTCTAACTATCAGTTCCTAGGAACTGAGTTGCTTGACCCTCATAAATCGGATACAACGGGAGTGTCCAGCATATATATATATATATTTGTGAAATCCAGAGAAAGAAGCAAATGGGAAAAGAAAGGAACAGAGAATGGGTGAGAAGTAAAGAAAATGATTTGAAGAAAGACGTAAAAAAACAGAGATAAAGGGGAGAGGAGAGAGTGGTAGAGAGAAATAAAGTGAGATTTGGAGAAAGAAGATAACCAGAAAGAAAGGAACAGAGAGCGAGTAAGAAGGAATGAAGAGAGAGGAAATGAAAGATAGATCTGGAGAAAGAGAAAAAAAAAGAATTGGCTAAAAAGGGAAGAAGACAATAGAAAGAGAGAGAGAGAGAGAGGTTTGGACAAAAAAGAGAAATCAAAAATGGGAGAATGAGGAAAAGAGATAGAGATGAAGAAAAGCAGTAGGAAACAAAAAATGAACGAAGAGAGGATAAAAGAAAGAAGAGAGAGAGAGAGAGAAAGGGGAGTTCTCAAAAAAGAGTAACATGGAAAGAAAAAGAAACAGAATGGGCAAATAATATGAAATGCAAGAATGAGAAAACAATGGACAACTGATGTGACTTTTCTAAAGAAATGCACCTATCCAACAAATAATAATTTTTTTTTTTAATTTTTAAATAATTTTTTAAAATTTTTAAAGATATTTTTCAAACTTTTTTCTTATTACCATCAAATAAAAAATTCAAGATTACAAATATAAATCAAAAAAAAAAAATTTCTAAATTTTAAGAGGGGTTTCAATTTTCAATGTAAATTTATTGCAAATTGTTCTTTCTACGCAAGACAATAGAGAGGTCAGTCTGCACTGCTATTTAACCCATAGATAAGGAGAAAAAGAAATGGATTTTCTCAAGGATATTTGTGCAAAAGTGAGCACAATGAACTCAACCAGAATTGGAACTCGGCATACCCATTATACTTTCCATGCACATGTCAATGAATCAAATATATTGTGTATACAAAAACTATTTACACTTTCTTGAAATTCAGAAACTTCAATACAGACAATGATTTTTTTTTTTTTTTTTTTTTTAGTAAGAAAAATAAAAAATAAATGGCGGAAACTTTTGCCTGCATGTTATAGATCTGTCCCTGTTGCAGAATCTAAGACTTTAATGACTTTATTTTTTTATTTTGTTGGTTCACATATGCAGGCATTTTTAAAAAAAGTCAACAGAAACTATTTGTGTGCCATTATTGCAGCCAACTGAAGATTTTTTGCTATGTTAATTGCTCATCTGGCAAAGTTCCTAAATAAAAGATAATTCACAAGATTATTTCAGAAATTACGTTTCTCATTTCTTGGAATTCTGAATCATTTTCCCTGACTGTTTCCTAATTCTTTGTAAATTTAAAAACCTGAAATGAAATTCTGAGACAATATTCCCCCACCCCACCCCAATATACTTCACATTGGTTTGTTTGTCGATTTCAAAATGACTTTTTGCCAAATTTAACTAACCCAATATTACCTCAAGTTTTGTAAATCATAATTTTCATATTTTGACACATGGCACAGTGGATAAAGGCGTTAGGACAGGATCCAAAGAATGTGAGTTCAATACCTGGTTAAGGCGGTGACAAACTTGGAGAGGGGAATTAACAAGAATTAACTGACAACTGACATCCATTAGACATGACATGTGGAACTAGAACAGTCAACCCCAGTGAGCAAAATAAAGGGTTCAGTTCGACATTCCAACCACCTGAAGAAGGCCGGAGTGTACAACAGCCAAAATGTTGTAATAAATATGGCGACAAAGATGAGGACAATAGTCCGAATAATGTAAATAATGTATATTTTGACACATTATGCAAACGGATATATCTACATATCTGTATCTGTCAAGGACACACATGGGTCAGAGGATAAAGGTGTTAGTTAGATCCAGTGATAGGACCCAAAGAGTGAGTTCAATACTCAGTTAAGGCAGTGGAGAACTTGGAGAGGGGAATTAACAGAAGATAACTGACAACTGACATCCATTAAACATGGCACGTGGAACTAGAACAGTCTACCCCAGTGAGCAAAATAAAGGGTTCAGTTTGACATTCCAACCGCCTGAAGAAGGCCAGAGTGTACAACGGCCAAAACGTTGTGATAAATATGGCGACAAAGATGAGGACAATAGTACAAATAATGTAAATAATCTGCATATCTGTTGTTTTTCTCGTAAGAATCCATATTGCACATTTATAAATTTACCTTTCATCTGTGAATTGAATTTCTCTGGTTTGGTGTGCCTGCTATATATCTTGAGATATCCAAAAAAAGGGCTTGTAGTGTTATTAGTCTTGACATGGCATTTTGGCTTCAGTGACTTTCCTACCACTGTGACATGGCTTCCTTCTGTCTTTTCTATAAATATTTTCATGGTAATTGTTCTGATGAGCTTTCCTCCTTGGTACCTTGATTGCATGAATTTAAATATCCTACTAGATTGGCTCATAGGTCTCATCATTCTGCTGTTGAAATAGCTAGATGTAACTGTCAGTGCTGTTCTAAGAGTTTTTACTTCTTGGAATTCTAAATCATTTTTCCAAACTGCTTTCTGCTTCTTTGTAAATTTAAGAAACCAAAATTAAGTTCTGAGACAAATTATCAAAAATTCTTCACATCAGTTTGTTTTTTCAATTTCAACATAACTTTTTGCAAATTTCACCAACCCAATATTGTTACAAGGTTTGCAATCCAGAATTTTTATATTTCTACACATTCATTATACAAACGAGTATCCCTACATTTATTGTTACCACTTTTTGGTCAGCATCATCTTGATCAGTATGGAACATTATCAGAGACTTTTTGCATCTTGTGATCTACAAAACTTTTTATTTTAATGTTTTTTCTTCTTTTTAATATCATAATCCTCTACTGAAAATGTGAAATAATTTCATTTGTAAAGAAAAAAAACATTGGTGAGTTAGTTATATATATATATATATATATATATATATATATGTGTGTGTGTATATATATATGTGTATGTGTATATATATATATAAATATATATCTCCAGGTATAATTCCACTGTCCGTAACATTTGTTTTAAAAGTGATCTCAATACAGAGTAGAGCTGAATATTACAATTATGTTTTGAGTGTTGAAACATAATTGAGTCGTGATTTTTAACGTGTTTTTGTTTTAATATCTTAAAATAAATAATATTATATAATCACTCACAGACAGACTGTATGACAGCTCAGCAGTGTGGCTAGACATCTGATTGCTTCAAGCTGGGATCAAAACACGACCGATTTAACATCAGTTAGAAACCCTTACCCTTAGGCTATTGCTGCATGTGAAAGGGAGTTTTTTAATGCATTATATACGTGATATATAAATGCCACACAATTTTTATGAAAAGTGATGCATTTAAAGCAGCAGTAGCCATTAAAAATTCCCTTTTCCTCATAGTATTCAATCAGCAAATGAGAATAGTCTGAGATGAAATAATAGTATTAATAAAGTCCTCAATACACATATAAAATGATAAAAATTTAACATGTTGAGCTTTTAAGAAAATTATGATAACTTATCATAGCCAACACGTTTTGTCCTCTGATGGACTTTATCTAGGCAAATATAAGGATTTTATTTTGCAACAAGTATTTATACACAAAAGTAAAAATGTTGTTAGTTTTTATAATTTTAACTTAAAAGATGCGCATAAATATACATCGATCAAACTGAAAATCAAGATAAATTATGGAGCGTGCTAAGTGACGTAATTTAATGTCTAATAAACAAAGTGATTAAATATTATTGTTGAAATATGTAATTATTATTTACATTATTTTAATTTGAGATTAATTTATGTCTTATACATTTTAAATAAAAGTTTTTGAATTTAGCAGTTTTCTTTTGATTTAAAAATTTTTATAGTCATTGGGAAATTTTTATAGATCTGTATATTTTGGCCCTCAGGAAAGGGGATATTTGAAAAATCTGGGGTGCAGATTTATATTTTAGTAATATTTGATAGTTGCACTGTCAAGAATTTTCCATGTAATATATATAATCCATCTTAAGTGTGGCATTCTTTAAGTCGAAGTTCTGGTTGAATATATATATATATATAAACTTATTTCTCTCTCTCTCTCTCATATATATATATATATAATGTGTGTGTGTGTGTGTGTCTATTGTTCAAACAAACAGCCTCTGTAGATATTCTGCCTGTGATATCACAAGTTATGTAAGTAGTCCAAAGATAATTATGCTTTTTGTCATGGTGGTGGGAGGTATGAACTGAAAAGCACTATTATTGAATTCATTTGTAAGCTTGGTTTTAAAGTTGTTTTGTTTTTTGGGTTTTTTTTTTTCAGGTAAGTGAAATGAAAGCCTTAATTTTTGGGACAGTTCCTCACCTTTCTATTTCAACAGACACAGAATTATTCAAAGAGAAGGTAAGTCACTCAGAATTTCATTTTTACAAATTAAAAAGACAAGTCAGAAGATAAATAATGGAAAAGAAATGAGAGAAAAAAAAACATTTAGAAATTACCAAAGTTCTTGGAAAGATTATGGTTTTTGATTCTCTGACAAAGATTGAACTGTTAAGTAGATACAAACTTTCATGTACTAATTGCATATAAAATTGAATACAATTGCAACTATCTAATCTCTCTCTCTCTCTCTCTCTATATATATATATATATATATACCTCATGATTGTCATCATCACCTGCTGTTGTTTCACCTTGCACCCATCACCATAGATTTGGAGTAAAAGTTGTTTGCATTGAGTGATTGATGATGTAATGATGATGAATGTTAAAAATGGAACTGTACAGGAAGAATTTATAATGGAAAAATTATTGCGCTGGAGTAATACCAGTGTCTGAGCATTAGGAGTCTTTATCTGGTGCCACAAGGTATCATTTGATGACCAAGACTTACTTGCTGACACTGGATCTCCGATCTGGGCACTCCAACCGAAACAATATTGGGGAAAAAATGTATGACAAACTGGAAAAGTTTTTGTGTGATGGACTTCATTGGACTAAATTTGTTATGTTGCTGTGACTACACACATGTACGAACAAAGGATGCTGGGAATTTGAAATTTTAAAAAAGATTTTTATATTTTTTATAAAATCTAGCCGATTTCATTTAGATTCTTTTTCTTTTTGTTTCCATCACTTTTGTTAGTAAATATCCAACAATGTGATAATAGAAGTTCTGTCAGGAATGGTGAAATGTACAAATTTTCTGTAGATGACCTTGTGATCAAGGCACCCTCTAAATATTTTCATTGTAGTGAGTTGTTATCTCCTTTGATGAGAGTAGAAATTTTTATGTTAAAATTGTAGACAGTCTTGTGAGCAACCAACGTATTCAATGTATTTTTATAAAATGTTCCTTTTGTGTTCATATAATCTTTTATTTAGATTTCTTGAGGTTTCTCCTATGTATTTTTTGTTAGAATTATTACAGGTGTCAGGTAAATTCTTCCTTCAAGTTTTCCTTTGCTGTTTTGTTTAGTGTTGACTAAGTCTTTTATTGTTTTAGCTATAGTAATAACAAATTTTATGTCAAGTTTAGATAAGTTCTTTTCAATTGTAGATGTGATAGAGTTTGGCACAAAAAATATAAAGGAAGATTGCTTGAACGCTTGCATATTGCTCCATCTGATTCTTCAGCTCAAGTTATGAGCAGGGACTGAACTTTTTCTATTTCTTTCCTGAATATGTGAATGGCTTGATTGGATAAAAGTGACTATGTTTGACTGACTGACCATGTATATGTGTGTGAGTGTGGATCAAAAATTATAATTTGTGTCTACATTTGCACCTTTGAGTCATCTGAATTGATTAAAACCAAACTTGATGGTTATTTTCCAGTCCACTGGATTGGTGAGGTTCAATTTGAGCTCATTCGTGATTTGATAATTGCTTGAAGCCAGTGAATTTTGAAGGCATTATGACAATGCTTGTGTGCAGAATGTCCCTTCCTATGAAACCCTTTGTCATTTGGTGAATTAAACTTGGTGTTCTTTTTCAATTAAAAGCAATTTGGAAGATTGCAATGAGTTCATATCGAAACTGAAAATGGATATATTAGCCATTTGGCTATACTTGCCTGGGTATTTTCTTATTCATATGTTGATAATCTAGAAACTCAGCCACTCATTTTTTCTCTTTGAAATTGTAGTATTCTATTGATAAAACAAAATGGTCATGATGACAGAATCGGACAGAACACAAAATGTGTTTAACCTATATCTTCCTGATATCAGTTTGAGCTGGCATCTTTTTTTTTCCATTACTGTGACAGTTTTGTTTAAAGTTTTTATTTTCATGATTTCAGATGAAAACTTGGAAATTTCCAAACATATTTCAGTGAAATTTTCACTTTCTAAAATTATATTTGATAATTATAAATTTGATAATATATATATATTTATATATATATATATATATATATATATATATATATATAAGTAACTTTTACCCGGACTTTCTCTGGTTAAAAATCAGACAGAACACAAAATGTGTTTAACCCATTCAGTGAAATTTTCAAAAAACCATTTAAACCATTTCAGTGAAATTATCACTTTCTAAAATTATTTTATATTTGGAAGAGAAGGTTGTCAGTTTAAACTGACACCAAGAGGATATAGGTTAATGAGAACTTTGAAAAAGAGTGTAAGTGTTGTTATGAACATAAAAGGTAAAAAGAAAAATGTTTATTTTCATTAATAAATGTTTTTTAGAGACAAAGAACAAACTAATAAAGTATGGAGAGTATTAATAAACTTTGAATATATTTATGATGAATGACCCTGTTCAGAAAAAAATCTTTTACAAGAATTCAGTTTCTAATATGATTTTCTCTGTGCCCAATTGCAATGGAGCAATTATTATTAACTTCTGACTAATTGTATTTTTTAATCAGTTCAATTTGTAATAATTTTTAAAAATTTTATATGCAAATACAGAAATAATTCGCCATTTAACAAAACGCTCATTTGTTCATATCCAGGTTGAAGGTATTGGGGTGTACACGATAACCAAATAAGACAGAAGTTAAAGTCTTTTGGAATGGATTCTTGGATTATTTATATTATTTTCAAACAGATTAATGTCCCCATTTCTGTATTTGTTCTTGGATATTGTGATTTTCACTAGCCTGTAAATTTGTCATAGGAATGAATAATAATAAAAAGTACTTGATAGTGGAAATTTATAATCATATATGCTTGAAAGATACCTATTTGGTTTCTCATAGAAATAAAAGATGATTTCTATAAAATTCATCTTCAATTTTGTAGAACAATTTTGGATTTGCACAAGAGATTTTTAACCCATTGTATCAGTGTGAATGGAGACCTACTTTTTTTTTACATGTAACGTGGTGATTTTGTTTAAAGTTTTCATTTTCATGATTTCAGATGAAAACTTGGAAATTTCCCATCATATTTCAGTGAAATTTTCACATTCTAAAATTATATTTGATAATTATAAATTCAATATTTGTGTATATATATATATATATATATATATATATATATATATAAAAGTGAACATAGAAGTCAACACTTCGATGTGACAGTCTGTTTCATGCTAGATGCAATCGTCAGACCTGATGATTGTGTCTAGCATAAAACAGACTGTCGCCTCTAAGTGTTGACTTCTATGTTCACTTTTATATTTACACATGCTCTATCTCTGATATTGAGCACTTTATCCCATAAATATAGAACACATACATATATATATATATATATATATATATATATATATTCAAAGTAACTTCTTACCCTGACTTTCTCTGGTTAATAATGAGA